CCCCCCCCCTCCCCCACACATACACCAACACATGGGTCTCTTTTGTTTTCTAAACCAAATAAAGAATGTTCTAAATTGTGTTGAAGCTGGCGTAAAATCTAATGATTTGAACCTACAACATGTCTTCATTTTTCCCCCTTCCTCAGACGGTCAAGAACGTTTTGTGGTTCAAGGAACGGCAACTCTCGGAGATTTCTCTGGGCGGCCTTCTCATTCTGGTGGTGATACGCACGATACAGTACAATATGACCCGCATGAGGGTGAGTGATGATCAGGGATGCCACTTTTCCGCTTTTTTTCCCCGGTATTTCCGGTATTTTGATCCTGATCCGCTTTTCCGTTATTGAGAATCGAGTCGAGATAGAATCTATAGTTTAAAAAAAAAAAAATTGGGTTTCAAATTGATTTTCATATGTTAGCGAGACAGTGGTGTGGGGATTTTCAGCTATTTAAAAAAAGTTGAATGGCTTCCCTGGTTGATGCAGGGTGATACAGTGAGGGTGAGGGGTGATACAGCGAGGGTGAGTGGTGATGCAGAGTGATACAGTGAGGGTAAGGGGTGATACTGGGGGGGTGAGGGGTGATACGCACGATACAGTAAAACATGACTCGCATGAGGGTGAGTGGTGATTCAAGGTGATACAGTGAGGGTGGGGGGTGATACTCGTGGGGTGAGGAGTGATACGCACTATACAGCACAACATGACTCGCATGAGGATGAGTGGTAATTCAGGGTGATACAGTGAGGGTGGGGGGTGATACAGGGTGATACAGCGAGGGTGAGTGGTGATTCAGGGTGATGCAGTGAGGGTGAGGGGTGATACCCGTTGGGTGAAGGGTGATGCGCATGATACAATATAACACGACACGCATGAGGGTGAGTGGGGATGCAGGGTGATATAGTGAGGGTGAGCGTGATACAGTTAGGGTGAATGATGATGCAGAGTGATATAATGAGGGTGAATTTTGATGCAGGGTGATACAGTGAGGATGAGGGGTGATACGCATGATACAATATAACATGATGCGCATGAGGGTGGGTGGTAATACAGGTGGTAGAGGGGTGATACGCGGTATACAGTGAGGGTGAGTGGTGATTCATATGAGGATGAGTCTGTCTCATTAGGTGGGTGTGTTTGTGTGTTATTATACAGTGGTATTATTACTATTATTATTATTGTTATTATTGTTATTATTATTGTTATTATTATTATAATCGTTCTTGATGTTGTTTTATTATTATTATCA